GGTATCGGTCCATTTCCTCCAGATTTTCATGTTTCTAAGAATAAACTTTTTTGTAGTAATCATTGTGGATTTTTTTGCATTTCTGTAGTATCTGTTGTTATTTCTCTTTTATTGTTTCTGATTGATGTTATTAGTGATTTTACTTTTCTGTTCTGGTGAAGCTAGTCAAAAGTTTATCAATTTTATTAATCTTTCTAAAGAACCATTTTTTTGTGTCATTGATTTCTGAATGATTCTTTTGTTTTTAATTTCATTTAATTCTGCTCTAATTTTGGTTATTTCCTTTCTTCTGCTGGGTTTGGGATTGGATTGTCTTCCTTTTCAAGTTGCTTGAGATGACCCATTAGGTTGTTGACTTTCTCTCTTTCTCTTTTCTTGATGAAGGTTTCTAATGCTACAAATTTCCCTCTTAGGACTGCCTTTGCAGCATCCCACGGTTTTGATAATTTGTTATAATTCTTGAAATCTCTTCATGTTGAGTATTTTTCTTGACAAAAATGTAATGTCCAGCCTGGTCTTTCCTTATCTTTGTTGGTTTAAATACTATTGTATCTGCAAATAAAATTGTAACTCTTATTTTTGTCTAATTTCCATTTGTCTGTATTATAGATGTCTATCTCTTCACCCTGAGTCTTTTTTTATCCTTTGAGGTAAGATGAGTCTCTTGTAGGTAGCAGATACCTGGCTTGAGTTTTTGTATCTAGTCAGCCAACCTATGCCTCTTAGAGAACAATTTAAGCCATTCACATTAATTAAGAGAATTTATAGGTATGGTAGTGTTTTGGCCATCATGGTTTTCAAAGGGCCAGTGGATATTTTTAATCCTTTTACCATTGTGGAAGTTAGGTTTTGTTCAATAAGTTCTGGGTGAGTTTATTTTGCCATTATGCTAGACATTATGGAGAATGGGTCTGAGTATTTCCTGGAGACCTAGGAATTTGGTTTAGTTATGCCAAATTTCCTCAACATGTGTATGTCAGTAAAGTATTTGATTTCTCCATCACAAATGAAACTCAGTTTAGCTAGATATAAGATTCAGAGCTGAAAGTTGTTTTGTTCTAGAAGGTTAAAGGTTAATGACCATCATCTTCTGGCTTGAAAAGTTTCGACTAAAAGATCTGCAGTCATTCTGATATTTCTCCCTTTGTAGGAAATGCTTTTTCTGACATCTGACAGCTTGCAGGATTTTCTTCTTCATATTAACTTTGGCAAAGTTAATTGCAATATGTCTAGGAGATGCTTTATTTGGATTGAGTCTTGCTGGGGTTCTGAAACTGTCTACTATCTGAATTTCTGTATTTTTTGCATTGCTTGGGAGAGTCTCCTCCATAATCTCTTGGAGTAGAGCATCTGTACCTTTAGGGCCATCCTCTTCTCTTTCAGGAATTCCTATAAGTCGGATGTTTGATCCTTTGGAATGATCCCACAACTCTCTCAGGGAATGTTCTGTTCTTGTTTTCCTTTTATCTGCCTCTTTGAATGCTTTGTCTTCAATTTCTGAGATCCTTTCTTCTGCCTGCTTAACTCTTTCTGAGGGATTCTACGATATTTTGAAGCTCCTTGAATAACTACTTTTTCACTTCTTTGATTCCATTTCTGATAATTTAGCCATTTGAGAAGAGGAATGCCATATTCTCTTATATATCCTTTGTCATTCCTTGGGGGAGTTGATCTGCTCTGATTATTCATCATTCTGTCAGAGTTCTTCTGCTGGTTCCACCCCATGAGTTATTTTCCATAACTTGGCAGTTAAAACTGGTAGGGTGATATTGGATTGGGGGGCCCCAGGGAGTGGAGTTAACCAGCCCTTTACCAATGAGCTGGGGCTTGTGATTGTGGCTTTTTCTCCTACAGCCTTACAAATGTCC